CGATACTGAAACGTCGATTCCGTGCTCCGACCCCAGATCACTGAGGTAGAATTCCTGCTAGTGAGACCTCAAATTTGTCTCTCTCTCTCTTTTTTTAAAAAATATATTTTATTGATTTTTTACAGAGAGAAAGGGAGAGAGATAGTTAGAAACATCGATGAGAGAGACACATCGATCAGCTGCCTCCTGCACACTCCCTACTGGGGATGTACCCACAACCCAGGTACATGCCCTTGACCGGAATCGAACCTGGGACCCTTCAGTCCACAGGCCGACGCTCTATCCACTGAGCCAAACTGGTTAGGGCGAATTTGTCTCTCTTAAACAAACAACCCTCAAGTGCTTCATGTCTACTCTGAGTATGGAACCCTGAGTCTCGCTGCTCATGGTTGAGAGCTGATGAGTTTGGGTCTCACTGATGCTCCATAAAGAGGGAGCCAAAGAGGCTGCATGGACAGAGCGGACGTGTTCTGGGCTATAGTTTCTGTTTATAGTTCCCTTTCCCCGGAGAAGAGGCCCCAGCCCTAATCACCTTTTTCTGCTCCACTTCCTAATGAGTCCCTTCCCACGTGTGAAAAAGTTTTTTTTTTAAGTTTTCTGGGAAAAATATATGTGCTATTTCTACCTAAAAAATATTACAACTTGACTTTACCTCCTCTGAATAAATTCTAGAGTGTGTATGCCATAAATAAATTGTTCTACCTCAGACATTTGAAAACAAATACTGTGACCAATTTAAAAAGAGAGAAACTCTGCAAATTCATGACATGATTGTGTTGTATTTCTAGTAATCATGTAACACCCAAGGCAGAGTACAATTAGTAGCCCTTATTTTGAATTCGATTCTAAGAAGTAATATGATTAGACCCTGCTAGGGGAAAAGCTGAAGTGCTAATCCAATCACTCAGCTGATCTTCATTGCTATAAATGTAATGCCTCTCTACTTCCTTTGTAGGCATAAGGAGGTTAAATAATATCCATATTTACGTGTTCGGTAACACTAGGCCTGCTCCGTGAGTGATGTTCTTCTGCCACTTGGTGGTGCTTGCCAGTTTCAGATGGTGTTTCTCGGCGGCACTGTAACCCTCCGCACAGAGCGAGCCGCACACAATCACAGCCTTCCCGTAGGAAAGGCTCTGCTCCCCGCTGTTTAATAATTTAAAGAACCTGTGGAAGCCACTGCATTTGCTAACCAGTCACAACTGGTAATTAACTCCTTTGGAGTTTTAAGTTACCTTGGGCACGGTGTCTGAGGAGGGGCACATATTACTAGAAAGCATGCCAACAATTTACTTGGCAGAGAATTCAATAACAGTTTACTCTGCGGAGAGGCTCTGTGAAATGCTACTGATACAGCCGCGGGCTGACATGGAGCAGGTCCTGTGTCCTTATCATGACGGCTGCATGCACGCTTTAAGGACTTTGCCGCTAGTTTCAAGCACCACATGTTTTTCATAAGCCTGATTAGCTACCACCCCAGCCTGGCCCTGGGAAGGGCATGTTCTCACTCTGAGCCCAGGAGTTGGTGAATCTTGAGCTGCATTAACCATAGACTTAGGTTGCTCTCTCTGCTGACAGGGGGCAGGGGAAGGGATCTCTGATTCTTCTCTTCTCTTTTCTCTTCCTCTTCTCTTCTTTCTCTTTTTTTCTTCTTTCTTTCTTTCTTTCTTTCTTTCTTTTCTTCCTTCCTTCCTTCCTTCCTTCCTTCCTCCCCAATATCGGCTGGCAGCTCTATCTAATGGGCATCCCGTTTCCTTACAGAATTCAGCTGCGCTGTCTGGGAGCCCATTTCCTGATGCCTCCCATGTCTGGTCAGATTGATCTGTTTTAATGGAGCCTCCGTGGGTGAGGAGCGGCCAGCAGGACTGGAAGGCTGGGACCTGCTGCTTAATTGCCAGGAGTGCAAGGCTCTGAGATGCAGAAATCTGTGCAGGAGGGCGTCGGGTGGGGCGAGCTCTGGCGGAGGAGGCGACGCAAGATAAAGGAACGGGTTTCACACACGGGAAAAAAAAAGCCATTTCTCAGAGGCACTGAGGTATACACTGCAGGACCATCGCGTCTCTCCGAGGAGAAGTTAGAAGGCACGGAAGTGGGAGGAGGTTGGAGGTTAAAGTACTTGAAAGGATGGCTGGGTGCAGTGTGTGCATGTGTGCGTGTGTGCGTGTGTGCGTGTGTGTGGCCTGGCGGTCCTGCAAAGGGGAGAGAGTTCCCGCTTTCAAAGTGCAGCGGTGCCTCTTTGAAGTGATTGGTGATGGAGGCAGGCTGCCCAGATGTCATCAGACATGCTCCTCCACATGCAGGGGATGCAGATGGAGAGGGAGAAAGGCAAGATTTAAAATAAGAGGGGAAAGGAAGAGGTGAGGGCTCCGGAAGGCAGAGAGGGAGGGAGGGAGGAAGGGAAGGAGGAAGGAAGGGAGAGAGGAGAGAAGGGGATAGCCAGAGGGAAGGATGGAGAGAAGAATAGAGAGGGAGGGTGCAGAGAGAGCAGGAAAAAAGCCCGAATCACACACCAAACACTGGGTGATCACACAGAACAGAAACCTCACCCAGCCCCGCACCGCAATGCCGGCCGGGCCGGAGGGAAGCCCTCCGCCG